CGATGAGCTTTGTAAAAATCGACGCGTTTCAGAAAGGCAGGGCATAGAGAACAAACAATAATATACAGTATGTGGAAAATAATGTGTTTTTTGAACCTTAAACCACATAAACACATTTCATTACACCAAACACACAAAAGGCATCAATAAGTCTGACATGCAGGTACACAAACACAAGTGCACAAACATAAGACACACACGCATGCTTAAGTATTCGATATCAGCAGATGGTGAAATGGATGCCAATTTGCTGACTCACTCCGCTGTAAAGCGTTCATTACGAGATCTTTCCTCTGACGACATCAAAAATGCATTAGAAAGAACAGCAAGAGTTTTAAAACGTGGCCTCTGCGCTGACAGGAAGTTAAAAGATCCATGAAATTAAAAGAGACTGAGATACAACAACCACAGAAATTGATTTTTTGATGCTAAATGCGGCTGTGGTGGACTGATCAATCACGCTTGTCTGTGAATGTGCCGTTACAGGACGGCCCAGCGTGGTAAACACAATGAACTGGCCCTCAGGAGCCGTAGAGCTAAAACTGTGGTTGACCAACAAGAACATCATCAGTGCTGCACCATCCAGCAAAAACATGTTATGTAATTGTTATGGTTAGTATTGCAGAGAAATTAGTTACAGGCCCTGCACTGTTTTCATAGTCACTGTGTTATTCTCTTAAAGGTATAGTTCACACAAAAATGGGTGCCGTCAGAATGAGAGTCTAAACAGCTGATAAAAACATCACAATAATCCACACCACTCCAGTCCATCAGTTAATGTCTTGAGAAGCCAGAAGTTGCGTGTTTGTAAGAAACAAATCCATCATTAAGACATTTTAACTTTAAACGGCTGATTCTGGCTAAAATACGAGCCCGCTTCTTCCTTTGAAAAAGTGGTCTGGTCTGAATCAGGAGAGAAATCTGCACAGATCAACAGTTCCAAACAAACATGTGGGTGAATTTTGATGTGAGAGACAACAGGACATGGACTTTTTCACTGGAGGAAGCGTTATTATGGATTATGAACTCGAATTTTAGCCGGAAGCAATGGATTAAAGTTAAAACATCTTAATGATGGATTTGTTTCAGCTTTTGGCTTCTCAAGATGTAACATGGTGCAAGAAAGGATTATTTATATAAATGAGAAAGTATTTTAACATCCAAAAAATGACACACAGATCATCAGAGCATGCAGCAGAGGAAAAGACGGGAATAATACCTCTCCGGTTAACAGGATCTTTCGCCACATAAGCGACGTAATCAGTCGTGTCCTGTTGACAGAAGACACAGGCAATGATTCAAACCTAAACTGAGCTAATTCCACTTCTACATGCTTTTATGAGCCCGTTTCTTTAAAGGAGTCATATAACGGCAAACACGATATTTCTTGCTCTTTTGAAATGAGTTTGATGCATTACATACTTTGAAAATCACAATTCATCCTCTATTTTTTTAAACTGGATTGCAAAAATGACTAATTTGTCAATTGTCATGATGATGACATCACATCTCATTAACATATGACCGCCCACATTTACACATTAAAAACATAGATCATGAAGATGGCGCGATTATGACATTTACATACATACATTTACAAAACTAACTCATTCAAGACATTGTCATGATTATGACATCACAACTATGAGCTCATTAACATATGACTGCCCACATTTACAAATTAAAAACTACAAATATAACTTATTTATGAAATTGACATAACTGACATCACCACTATGAGCTCATTAACATATGACCGCCCACATTCACATAATAAAAATAGAAAAATGACCCATTCTTGAAATTGTCATGACATCACATCTGAGCTCATTAACATATGACCGCCCACATTTACACATTATAAACTGCAAATATTACAAATTTGTGAAATTGGGATGATAATGACATCACATTTATGATCTCATTAATAAATGACCGCCCACATTTACATATTAAAATTCCAAAAATCACTAATTCATGAGATTGTCATGATTACGACATCACAACTATGAGCTCATTAGATATTAAATACAAAAAAAAGACCAATTCAAGAAATAATCATGATTATGACATGACAACTATGATCTCATTAATATGACCGCCCACATTAACATTAAAAACTGCTAAAGGGCTTCAGCCGACACCTTTTTTGGGTTAATATGTAAAATTATGTATAATTATTTGGATTTAGTGTATGAGGACTGGAATAAACCTACAAAACTGCACTGAAAAATGACTAATTTGTGAAATTGTCATGATTATGATATCATATCTATGAGCTCATTAGCATATGAACAGCCATATTTGCATATCAACATCTATTCAATATTGAGCAACCTGATAAACAACAAGTATGCAGAAACTAGGCAATCATAACAAGTCTTAAATGTACAGTAGCTAGTTAAAAGCTTATTTAGTGGAACATAATCGATAAAAATCGATAAGTTTTGGTGTAATAAACATTACAAATAAGATAAAACACTACTAAAACATATTTATTATGGCTCCTTTATTCACAGGAACACTGAAGTCGTTCTATTGGATATTCACTTTTTCTAGAGCTCAGAGATTTGCCATAAAGTGTGGTGAGACTGAGTGTCAGCTGAGGAATGAATCAGGGGTGTGATGTTGTAAAGTCTTACCGGATCTCCACCGGAGGCAAAGGATATGGACTGCATGTGATGATTGGCTATTATCTGTGGAAACAGGAAGGAGCATCATTCATCTGCTCAGAGAGAGAGAGAGAGAGAGAGGAAGAAAGGAGATAAGTGTGTGTTTCTGGACCTGTTTGGAGTCCGGTGTCATCAGGTTCAAACTGCTGGTGGAGATGTTGAGATTGATACTCATCCCAGCAAACTGCAGGTTACTCTTGCCCAAAATACTGGAGAGGAGTTTCGAAGGAGGCTGAAAGAGAGCGTCACAGTCTCATGTTTTCATCTTCAGACCTTCTTAACTGCTTCTTAACTTCTTAAATGTAATAAAGTTTGCAATATTTGATGATTGCTTATTTCTTAGACTGCTTGATAACTATTTGTCCTGCATTGAATAGTAGCTTCATCCACAGTCAAATCTCACTGATCCAAAATCATGTCCCACAAATTAAGATTAAATAAGTTCTAAATTATTTTTTAAATATTTTATTTTATATTTTACCAATTCTTATTATATTATTATGTTCAGTTGAAGTACTGTTATTTTAATTAATTTGACTAATTTTATGTCCTGCATTGAGCTTTGTTAAATCTCACTGATCCAAGAAGATCATGTTCCACAAATGTGTTCTGAATAATTTGGCAATTAGATTTTTTAAAATATATTTTATTGTATAATTATGATATTATATTTATTAATTCTTGTTATATTGATGTTTAATTTTCAGTATTGTAAATTTATTTATTATTTATTTTACTAATTTTTGTACTCCATCGAATGGTAGCTTTGTCAACAGTGAAATCTTACTGGTCCAAAATCATATTCCACAAATAAAGATCAAATATTTTCTGAATAATCATTTTTTATCAATAATCATATTTTATTTTATATTTTATTAATTCTATTATATTGATATTTCATTTGTAGTATTGTTATTTTAATTTATTTTACTAACTTTTGTCCTGTATTGAATAGTAGCTTCATCCACAGTGAAATCTTAATGGTCCAAAATCATGTTCTAAATAATTATTTAATTTAATTTTATTTCATTTTTAATATTTTACTTATTCTCATTATACTGGTATTTCATTTGTAGTATTATTTTAATGTATTATTTTTTTGTATAATTATTTTAATTTATTTTACAAATTTATTTAGCTGCAAACGTTTTGTCAATTAAAATGCAGTTTTCTGCCAAGCATACTAAAATTAAACTGAAATTCAATTCAAATCACTCCAGTCAGTCTTCATTCATATTACAAAATGGAAGAACATTCAAAAAATAAAAACCACGCATGCAATGCATCCTTCTGTGTTTGTGTGCTAAATCGATCCAATGTCGCGTCATTAAATCGGGACATACTGCACGGCACGTTTTAAAACTTCCCTAAAATCCCCACACGCACATCCGTTCATTTGAAAGCAGACACGTACCTTTCCACGGCTGCAAACGTGCATCACACACACACACACACACACAGACAGACAGACAGACAGACACACTCACACTCACACTCACACTCACACACACACACACAGACAGACAGACACACTCACACTCACACTCACACACACACACACACACACACACACACGCGCAGCAGGAGGCAGGAGGGCTGATTACTGCTGCTCAGTACAGAATGAGTCACCATGCTAACAGTATGCCCACACACACACACACACACACACTGCAGCACGCCATTTCTCTTTTCTCCAGCCTTTATTTGATCTCTAACCGTCTTTATCTCACTCCAAACCTTCTCATGCTCCTCTTTTAGTCTTTTGCTTATTTACTTCTCTTTTTCCATCTCATATTTCTCCATCTGCATCAATAACCTCCACCTCTGACCACTTCCTGTTGTCATGTGCAATAATCTATAACTCTCTTTCGCTGCTTGTCTCTGGTGTTTTTTAATTAAATTTAATGTAATTCAATTTGCTTCATTCACATTGTTGTGTTAGACGGTCAGTTTTCATGAAAAATAACTACTGAGGCTTTGACAAATCTGCAGGCTTGTTCACATTTTCTGTGCTGATTCGCTGGGGAAAATATGCAGAATTATGTGGAATGGATTTAACAATGGTAAACTGCATGAGATCATGTAGTGTTGCATGTTATTTTAGTATATTGATATACCATTATAGTTTTTATTAATATTTTAAATTTGTTTTTATTTATATATTTTCAGTTATTTTCATAATTTTCGTTAAAGTTTTAGTACTTTTGCTGCATTTTATTAATTTTATTTTATTTGTGTTTTTTTAAAAATATGTGTGTATAGTTTTTATTTCATTTTTAGTTTTAGTTATTTTAGTACTTAGAGTTAAACTAAAAAAAAAATTCGAAATGTTCCTTTGGCAACTAGCTGAAATAAAATAAGTATATAATTGTATTTTAAATCACTTAAAGAATTTTCAATGAAGATTAAAGTCTGAATAATTTAATTTTATATTTTAGTATTTTATTTCATATTTTATTAAGTCTTATTATATTTATATTTCATTTGTAGTACTGTTATTGTCATTTATTTCACTAATTTTTGTCCTGCACTGAATAGCTTTGTCACACACACACACACACACACTGCAGCACGCCATTTCTCTTTTCTCCAGCCTTTATTTGATCTCTAACCGTCTTTATCTCACTCCAAACCTTCTCATGCTCCTCTTTTAGTCTTTTGCTTATTTACTTCTCTTTTTCCATCTCATATTTCTCCATCTGCATCAATAACCTCCACCTCTGACCACTTCCTGTTGTCATGTGCAATAATCTATAACTCTCTTTCGCTGCTTGTCTCTGGTGTTTTTTAATTAAATTTAATGTAATTCAATTTGCTTCATTCACATTGTTGTGTTAGACGGTCAGTTTTCATGAAAAATAACTACTAGGCTTTGACAAATCTGCAGGCTTGTTCACATTTTCTGTGCTGATTCGCTGGGGAAAATATGCAGAATTATGTGGAATGGATTTAAAAATGGTAAACTGCATGAGATCAGAGCAATGTTATTTTAGTATATTGATATACCATTATAGTTTTTATTAATATTTTAAATTTGTTTTTATTTATATATTTTCAGTTATTTTCATAATTTTCGTTAAAGTTTTAGTACTTTTGCTGCATTTTATTAATTTTATTTTATTTGTGTTTTTTTAAAAATATGTGTGTATAGTTTTTATTTCATTTTTAGTTTTAGTTATTTTAGTACTTAGAGTTAAACTAAAAAAAAAATTCGAAATGTTCCTTTGGCAACTAGCTGAAATAAAATAAGTATATAATTGTATTTTAAATCACTTAAAGAATTTTCAATGAAGATTAAAGTCTGAATAATTTAATTTTATATTTTAGTATTTTATTTCATATTTTATTAAGTCTTATTATATTTATATTTCATTTGTAGTACTGTTATTGTCATTTATTTCACTAATTTTTGTCCTGCACTGAATAGCTTTGTCCACAGTGAAATCTCAGTGGTCCAAAACCATGTTCCTCAAATAAAGATTCATTTTGTTTTGAATAATTATTTTATATTATTGGTCTTTATTTTATTTTTTATATTTTATTAATTAATTTTATATTGGTGTTGATTTCTTATGTATTATTATTTTAATTTATTTTACAAATTTTTGTCCTGAATTGAATAGTGGCTTCATCAACAATGAAATCTTACTCATCCAAAATCATTTTTCACAAATAAAGATTAAATATGTTCTGAATAACTCTTTTATTCAGCAACTATAAGTATATACTTTTTTATTAAATCACTTAATGTTTATTTTATTTCAAGGAACAAAAATGTTTGAGTTAGTTTTAGTAAACAACAACAATAACCCTGGCTGAAAGCATTATCAAATCTGCCAAAATACTTAATAAATGTAACAAAAAGGCACACAATCATCTCATAAAATCAGACTTGTGCATTTTTGAGTTTCCAAGTAGGCAGTCTGACTTTAGAAGGCTTTCTATTGTACCTTTAGGACTTTTAAAGCTGAATGCATTACAATATAACAAGTCTCTGTTCAGATGTATTTATTATTTGCTTTAGGATAACTGCACACATTCTCAGGCTGTACCTTTCTCTTGCGCAGAGCTCCTTTGGCACCAGGGACGGCTTCACACACCAGACTGATCGCATCCCTGCCGAGAGGAATTACAAAAATATGAAGACATGAGCAATTCTGAAGTACAGAGAGAGCAAACTGTCAAGATGCTGTGTGAAAACAGTGGGACTGCAGCGGCATTCTGGAAACAAAGCAAAGCTCTTCAATCGGGGATGCATTTGAATCCAAAGATATGAATCTATCATTTTTCATTGTTCATGATGATATCTAGAGAACAGGGTTGCCAAAGGTTGATATTAACAAATATAAATAAGAACAATAACATAAATATACTAATACTATAAACATACACAAAATATAAAAAATATTAAATATTAAATAAATAAAGTGCAAAATAAAATATGTAAAAGAATTAAGGAAAATGAGTGCAGATCATTATATTTTTCATATATGTTTTTCTAAGGACTTCATTAATTTTGTGATTATTAATATTCATTTATATTTTTAAGTTTCAATAGCTAATGCTAATGATGATAACTAGAGAATAGGGTTGCCAAATGTTCATATTAATAATAATAATAATAATATAAACAAACAAATTATAAACATTTTAAATATAAACTATCAAATAAATTGTAAAATAAAATATATATATTTGAGGCAAATGAGTGCAGATCATTATATTTTTCATATACATTTTTTCTGACTTTATCAATTTTGTGACTATTAATATTCATTCATATTTTTAAGTTTCAATAGCTAATACTCATGATGATATCTAGAGAACAGGGTTGATTTTTTATTTTTTTTTGTGGAAAAAAAATTAAGCCTATTTAAATTTTTTATTTTATTTTAACACCAAAAATATTATTTTGAACTGTGACTTTATTTTCATAATAATTAAGCATATCTTCCCCCGTTTTCTTATTACTGTAATGCATTTTGACATGTTAATTTTTTAAATAATTCTCATTAATGCTGATTTTCATTAGATGCTCATTATTGTAGTGCATTTATTTAAGTAAGCATAAATTAAATGGAATGCAACCATATTGTATAAATACTAATACTTTTTATATAACAGTAATAATATTGAATATATTATAAAATTAATATATTATAAAAATAACAGTAATGAAAAACTGGCTTAATTATAATAAAAAATAATTTTACAATACAATAAATATTAATGGCCCTAAAAGCAGGATAAAATATAATTTCTTTTTTTTTTTTTAGGACATTTTTGACAGATTCTGTGAGATTCACTTTGCTTTTAATTGACTTTTAATGTTTTACAAAAGGCACAATAAATAAATAAAAACTATATCTGAGGTGTAATATAGATAAACCTGCTGATGGTTCAACATTCAAGCACAGTTTTTGGAGCGATGTTTGTGTCCAGGGAGCGATGGAGAACGGCTGGTGTGTTCCTGTGAACGCTACAGCAGGAAGTCAGGCAGAAAAGAGGATATGACACGTCATCTCCAGCGCTGCTAACGCTAGCGGCCCACACAGCCCAGCGCTCAATAAACAAGCCGCGTCCGCTGGGATCCCAGCTGATGTTACGCAATGACTCATCAGCACACGGATGGCTTACATTCACATCTCACACACTCGTTTTAGCAACAATAAATGAGTGCTTGGCTGCAGATTCAAATAAAGAAAAAAACATAAAAGTGCCATGAAAGGCCATTAACTGTGATGTAACCGTAAAGAAACTAAAAAGCAGCGTACAAAAGCCATTAACTGTGATTTAGCAGCAAAACAACAGAAAAACATAAATATTAATAAATATATAAACATAAGAGAAATATATAATGGAGAAAGCATAACATTTGAATCACGCTCTCCTCATTGTCCTCTCTGTCATATTGTAAAGTCTGATTAATTTTCGGTTCATTTGGACAGTTCACAAAAATGAGTTCCTGAATCAAGTCCAAGGTTGTTTTTTTATAGTCACAAAAAACAAGCAAACAAATAAATAAAAATAAACAAATACAAGTTAAATATAAATTAACATAAATACATCTGTCCCCATTTTGTCAATGTCTTTTAAATAATTTTATTACTAATTAAATGTAAATAAATATAAATACAATTATAAATTTCTTAAATAATTTTCTAAATAAATAAATATACAATGATCTATCCCCTTTTTGTAAATGTTTTTAGTTTTAATTATTTTATTTATAAAAGGAATAAATTAACAAATTGTTAAATTAAATATTTTTTAAAAACCTAGGAAAATTAGGGCAGATCATTATATATTTTCTTCTTTTGTGATTATTAATAATATTAATCTATATTTGCAGTCAGATTTGGAAGAACAGTCATTTTATCTCAATTTTATAGTTTTTTTTTATATATATATAAAATATATTTAGCAATAATACTTGTTACTATTTCTTTTAATTTATTTAAAATTTAATATTGCCAACTGAATTTGAAAAAAAAAAAAAAAAAAACTTTTCTTGTGCTAGAAAACACAATTGGTTAAATAATTTTAAATTTAGATAAATATAATTAATTTGTGTATTAGATGGAAAGCATAAGTCTGAATCCAAATTCACATACAAACTAAACTGTAATTCGCAATTCATAATACATTAAAATATTACCAAATTAACCTGTATCTGGGAAGTGTGCAGCTGTGCATGCTATTTCAGCTAATATTACCCACAATTCCTTGCACAACATAAGAAGAAACGTTTGTGACTGTTTTATACGTTTTCATTAGTAGAAAGACAGAGAGAGTTGTAGTACCGTGTGATTTGTGATCGTGTGGTGAAGTCCAGGGATCTCATGGACCGGAGGACTTCAATGCAGCCCAAATACTGAAAAACAAGACAGAAATGTGATTAGAACAGCTCATAATAATCTTTTCTTCAAAACTAGATATTATTATTCCCTGTGTGTGGGAAAAAAAAACATAGTAATATTCAAACCAACTTCAACTGATTACTTTAAAGCCAACATGATATCAAAATTAAGCTTATTTAATTTCTTGATGTTTGTAGTCTTGTAGCTTTCCAGGTAAAATATTGTGTTGTGTGTGTGATGTGTTTAACAGCACTGACCGCAACGCCACATATTCATTCATCCATAAACAGGACAGTTATCAACACTGTGCCCATTTTGGCCTTGTGTCTGTACTAACACTGGACATCAGCAGGTGTTTTTGGTCCTTTATGGAGACTGACATGCTGTGCTCATAATGAACAGTCATTGTACAAACAATATCGTGTTTGAGAATAATAATGAATACAGATTGTGAACGACATGAGGGTGATTAATTAATGAAAGTGTCTTCTGTTTTTGGGTGAACTATTTAGTTAATACTCTAATCTGCTTGTCTACAGTCCGACACTGTAAACACACGCACACACACACACACACACACACACACACACACACTCACACACACTCACACACAAAACATAAAAAATGACACGCCGGTAATGCTCACTTATGCAGACACACAATCAAACATTTTCTTCAGAAAAACAACGATTCCAGAAATTTCTCTAAATCACAGAGTGTAATTTCAGGTCTAAACCACAATATTACTGTCTGATCTGATCAAATGTCTTCACAAATGCACTTGAACACTTGTTTTGGTAAGGAGTGAATGGATGTGTTGTCATTTGTTTCATTTCAGCATAAGATAAGTCTGTCATTTATGCTAAAATAAAATAAAAATGATTAACTACAAAAGCAAAAATAAAAAACAAAAATGCATTTTGAAACTGAAAAAATTATAAGATTCAGCTTTGAGGATTAATCCCGCAATCTTTAATCTATAAAAAAAGATCAAAACCCTTACCCTACATGAACTACATAATAAAGTATTAATTAAAATCATTAAAAATCTATAAAATAAAAATTATTAACTACAATAGCAAAGCAAAAAAATCATTCATACTCATACTCATCACATATTATTTCATCTTTATAAAGCTCAAACCCCTAACCCATCATGAACTAAAGTATGAATTAAAATCAATAAAATAAAAATATAAAATAGACTACAAAAGAGGACACTGAAAAAATGACATGTTTCAGCTTTAAGGATCCATCTCATATTATTTCATCTATAAAAGGCCCAAACCCCTAACCCTAAATGAACCAAAGAAAAAAACATTAAATTAAATAGAAAAAAACAATGATTAACTACAAATGAAAAAAAAACCTGACAATAAAAAATTCCACACTTCAGGTTTAATGATTCATCTTATATTCTTCAATCTATAAAAAGCTCAAAATCCTAACCCTACATTAACTATATAAGAAAAAAATTTAAATAAAGTAATAAATAACATAAAAGAATAACAAAATAAAAAAGAGAGCGAGAGAAGACATTTTAAAAATAATGTATGCTCCATCTTAAAGGATTCGCCTTATATTTTTTAATCTTAAACTCAAAACCCTAATCCTACATTAACTACATAAGAATTTCTTGAATAAAAATCTATAAAATTTGATAGTAAAAATTATTTTAAAAATGACATGCTCCAACTTACAGGATTCATCTCATATTCTTTAATCTTAAGTTTAAAATCCTAACTCTGCGTGAACTATATTACAAAAGTATTAAATACAATCAATAAATAAATAAGATCCAATAATCATATAAAAGCAGCCAGCAAACACACGTATTAAAAGCGAGCTCCGCATGAGAACGGTGTCACTTCCTGTCCAGGCGATGACATCATCCATCAACACATCTCTGCTTTATTTAGCCTCTCACCTCACTGATCTCTCAATGCTGCATGACTCACTCAGTCAGAGTCGCACTACAACTTTCCTTGACTAAATGAATGAGTCACCTGCAGTAACCCACCTGAGAACCGACGAACCCACCGTCCGCTCCGACCACGTCACCTTCTTCCAGGAACACTGTAAATGCTGATTAGTTAAGTTTACTCGAGGGCTTCATGGAAAATTATCTCCTTACTGCCTCGTTTTTATCGGCCAAATTAACTCTGGTGTTCGACTCAAAGCACAGAAAGGAAACGAGGCCGGAAGCGAACGATGAGTCACTGCAATGTTTTGGCAAATAGTATTTGGCTAAATACAATGAAGGAGACTTTGAGCTTATTGAATGATAGTATTAGACAATACCAAGTTTGTTTGTGTGTGTAGGCTTAAGATATTAATAATAATATTTATATATACATATGTATATAATGACATACAGGTTTTCAGCTACATACTTTTTCATGTTTTTTTGTCACTGCAAGCTACATTTAGTAAAATGTCAAGCTGAAAATTAATTTAATATGTTTTAACATTAAATATATATGTACATATTTTAACATTAAATATATATTTTGCTATATTTTCTGACACCTATATATTTTCAGCAACATATAGTAAAATATCAAGATAATCAAAGAAAGCAAAAAGGCAAGAAAAGTAAATAACTTTAAATAAACGACCAAAAAGTAAATAATTTAATATATAATTTAACATTAAATATATATTTTGGAATATTTTTTTTTTTAAACCTATGGGTTTTTAGCAACATAATTTTTTTGTCACTGCAAGGAAGCGGTTACTATATCGAGTAAAAATGTCAAGAAAATCAAAGACAGTAAAATGAACATAAAAGTAAATAATTTTAAATAAATTAGAGAAGTAAATAATTTATATATTGTAACATTAAATATCTATTTTGCAATATATTTTTTTTTTTACATCTATAGGTTTTCAGCAACTGACAGTAAAATGTCAAGATAATCAAAGACAGTAAAATGACCAGAAAAATAAATCATTTTAAATAAATGACTGAAAATTAAATCATTTAATATATATTTAACATTAAATTATTTGGCTAAATACAATGAAGGAGACTTTGAGCTTATTGAATGATAGTATTAGACAATACCAAGTTTGTTTGTGTGTGTAGGCTTAAGATATTAATAATAATATTTATATATACATATGTATATAATGACATACAGGTTTTCAGCTACATACTTTTTCATGTTTTTTTGTCACTGCAAGCTACATTTAGTAAAATGTCAAGCTGAAAATTAATTTAATATGTTTTAACATTAAATATATATGTACATATTTTAACATTAAATATATATTTTGCTATATTTTCTGACACCTATATATTTTCAGCAACATATAGTAAAATATCAAGATAATCAAAGAAAGCAAAAAGGCAAGAAAAGTAAATAACTTTAAATAAACGACCAAAAAGTAAATAATTTAATATATAATTTAACATTAAATATATATTTTGGAATATTATTTTTTTTAAACCTATGGGTTTTTAGCAACATACTTTTTTTTTTGTCACTGCAAGGAAGCGGTTACTATATCGAGTAAAAATGTCAAGAAAATCAAAGACAGTAAAATGATGAGAAAAGTAAATAATTTAATATATAATTTAACATTAAATATATATTTTGGAATATTATTTTTTTTAAACCTATGGGTTTTTAGCAACATACTTTTTTTTTTGTCACTGCAAGGAAGCGGTTACTATATCGAGTAAAAATGTCAAGAAAATCAAAGACAGTAAAATGATGAGAAAAGTAAATAATTTAATATATAATTTAACATTAAATATATATTTTAGAACATGATTTTTTTTTTTAAACCTATAGGTTTTTAGCAACATACTTTTTTTTTTGTCACTGCAAGGAAGCGGTTACAATATCAAGTAAAACTGTCAAGAAAATCAAAGACAGTAAAATGACCAGAAAAATAAATCATTTTAAATAAATGACTGAAAATTAAATCATTTAATATATATTTAACATTAAATATATATTTTGTAATATTATTTTATTTTTAAACCTATAGGTTTTCAGTAACCCACTTTTTTGTGCTTTTTGTCACTGCAAGGAAGTGGTTACTACATTTAGTAACATGTGATGATAATCAAAGACAGTAAAATGATGAGAAAAGTAAATAATTTAATATATAATTTAACATTAAATATATATTTTGGAATATTTTTTTTTTTAAACCTATGGGTTTTTAGCAACATAATTTTTTTGTCACTGCAAGGAAGCGGTTACTATATCGAGTAAAAATGTCAAGAAAATCAAAGACAGTAAAATGAACATAAAAGTAAATAATTTTAAATAAATTAGAGAAGTAAATAATTTATATATTGTAACATTAAATATCTATTTTGCAATATATTTTTTTTTTTACATCTATAGGTTTTCAGCAACTGACAGTAAAATGTCAAGATAATCAAAGACAGTAAAATGACCAGAAAAATAAATCATTTTAAATAAATGACTGAAAATTAAATCATTTAATATATATTTAACATTAAATATATATTTTGTAATATTATTTTATTTTTAAACCTATAGGTTTTCAGTAACCCACTTTTTTGTGCTTTTTGTCACTGCAAGGAAGTGGTTACTACATTTAGTAACATGTGATGATAATCAAAGACAGTAAAATGATGAGAAAAGTAAATAATTTAATATATAATTTAACATTAAATATATATTTTGGAATATTATTTTTTTTAAACCTATGGGTTTTTAGCAACATACTTTTTTTTTTGTCACTGCAAGGAAGCGGTTACTATATCGAGTAAAAATGTCAAGAAAATCAAAGACAGTAAAATGACCAGAAAAATAAATCATTTTAAATAAATGACTGAAAATTAAATTATTTAATATATTTTGTAATATTATTTTATTTTTAAACCTATAGGTTTTCAGTAACCCATTTTTTTGTCACTGCAAGGAAGTGGTTACTACATTTAGTAACATGTGATGATAATCAAAGACAGTAAAATGATGAGAAAAGTAAATAATTTAATATATAATTTAACATTAAATATATATTTTGGAATATTTTTTTTTTTAAACCTATGGGTTTTTAGCAACATAATTTTTTTGTCACTGCAAGGAAGCGGTTACTATATCGAGTAAAAATGTCAAGAAAATCAAAGACAGTAAAATGAACATAAAAGTAAATAATTTTAAATAAATTAGAGAAGTAAATCATTTATATATTGTAACATTAAATATCTATTTTGCAATATTTTTTCTACACCTATAGGTTTTCAGCAACTGACAGTAAAATGTCAAGATAATCAAAGACAGTAAAATGACCAGAAAAACAAATTATAATTAAATCATTTAATATATTTTGTAATATTATTTTATTTTTAAACCTATAGGTTTTCAGTAACCTACTTTTTTGTATTTTTTGTCACTGCAAGGAAGTGGTTACTATATTTTGTAACATGTGATGATAATCAAAGACAGTAAAATGATGAGAAAAGTAAATAATTTTAAATAAATGATGAGAAAAGTAAATAATTTCCCCATCAAACTAAGGTCCAAAAACCTACTTTACAAAAATATGAAAATGCAAATGCTATGCAAGCTTGTGCTCTCATGTCGCTGTGTTTGGAAATGTACATGTTGTATTCTCAGCAATGCCAACAGGGGGCTTTTGCGTAAACCGTCTTCTTCTACAGTCAGTCTTCTCAGATACTGTCATGAAGTTAAGAAATTTAGCGGAGCAAAAATAAAGTTAAACAGTCAACATAAAACTTGGAAGCTTGTGCATAACAGCTATTCAATTTACATGCAAGTTCACATTTGAGAACAACGAATCTTAATGAATAGTTCAACACAACACAAAACACACACAGACATACTGGCACACTAAACTGTTAAAAATGTGGAATATGTAAAATATATTCACAATACAGCATGACCTTAGTGCCTTATTACTGTTAACAGAAAAAAACAATTATATTAAGCACACAAATCCTAAAGCCTGCAGTCTGTCTGAACGCTGGTCACGTGTGTTTGAGAAGCAGCCCGTCCAGTCAATGTCAGCAGCTGTCCTTTTAGTCAAATGGAGCATAGTGTGTGTGTGTTCATGCACAGGGTCACTAAATAAGTGAACTGTAAAGAATAACACACATTCAGCCCTGCAAAGGGACGCCAGAGGGGTTTGGTATGGACGCCGCTAACTTTTACCTACTAACTCTTACCAAAACACATCAAACTCAAACAAGGAGCTAGAAGTACTGTCCTTTACTTTCTCTGTGTCACTCTCTGTACGTTAAATGCTTAGAGAGACCTTTGTCACTGATAATAAAACACATCAAATTAGTTCCCTTCCATTGCACGCCGGTTTGCACGATATAATTCAGTCGTGTTGGCGGTTCGTGTTTTGCCTCGACACCAACTGACTATTCAGAACAAAAAAAAGCCAGAAGGGAATAATGTATGATTCATGCTGCACAAATCCAAGTCACCTTTAGCTCAATGGGGCTGCTGCGAACATGCTTATATGATCGCAAACACACTAGACGATACGCTTAAAATACACAATACCGCAAGATCTGAGGTCAGTGCTCAATATGCATTGTCTATTACACAAATATGTTCATACAACGGCACTAAAATGCACTTATTAAAGCACAAACATCTCAAGAAACGTTTGCAAACGACCCTAAAAGGAGACAATGATGTTGGTATTTCTATAGTGCATGTATAGAAGACAAATATACATGCACTACAGAGTTCTCAAGCGTTTACACATTGCTATGACTTTCCCAGTTCTGCAAATGAATGAATGAATGAATAATATATATATATTTATGTGCAAATATGTGCACGTACGCCATGATTAACATGCATGTAGCACCTGCTTTATGTGCATTTGATTTAAATGCACATATTTATATTTATGTCATATATAGACACATATAAGTTTGTGCATTTATATCGAATGCACAGAAAGCAGGTGCTACATGCATGTTAATCATGGCGTACGTGCACATATTTGCACAAATCAAAACTTCAACAGTCAAAGATCAGTTATCATGTTTGTCTTTGCATATAGATGTGGACAAGAATAACTGCTCTGTCCTGCACACGTCATGATCTCCGGAGACGATACAGTAACGGAAATGTAGCCGGAACAACATCCCCCTGGTCTGGTAACCGGTCGCCGTGGTTACACGATCTCAAGCGTTTACACATTGCTATGACTTTCCCAGTTCTGCAAATGAATGAATGAATGAATAATATATATATATTTATGTGCAAATATGTGCACGTACGCCATGATTAACATGCATGTAGCACCTGCTTTATGTGCATTTGATTTAAATGCACATATTTATATTTATGTCATATATAGACACATATAAGTTTGTGCATTTATATCGAATGCACAGAAAGCAGGTGCTACATGCATGTTAATCATGGCGTACGTGCACATATTTGCACATAAATATATATATATTATTCATTCATTCATTCATTTGCAGAACTGGGAAAGTCATAGCAATGTGTAAACGCTTGAGAACTCTGTAGTGCATGTATATTTGTCTTCTATACATGCACTATAGAAATACCAACATCATTGTCTCCTTTTAGGGTCGTTTGCAAACGTTTCTTGAGATGTTTGTGCTTTAATAAGTGCATTTTAGTGCCTACACGATTTGCATGCACTTCCCTTTTGATGTGATAAACTTGCAGTTAATTTGAATAGATCAAATCTATGGAGGTTAAAAAAAAAAAAAAAGCGGTCGCACGGGCAACTGAACCACTATGTCTGTGATATTTAAGGAAAGCAGAGAATATATCACAATAACGATGTACATAGAGAATATGGATAACTGTACTTGTGTTATATTACACTAGCAGTCAGAGTCTCTGAAGCGCATGCATGTAGGGCTGTGTGACGGTAAAACATATTATACTGTATATAGTGAATTAAATAAAGCTATGTTGCAAAGCTATGATTGGACAGGACTGATTTATTTTATTTACTGTACAAAGAACCCTGACACTGTTATTGAACTGAATAATGATACTGTTATCTTCTTTAGAGCTGCTTTACAGCCATTTTACAATTTTACAACATAACACAATATTTTCCTGTTTATTATGAAGCTGCTTGGTATAAAGCGGTATAGATAAATGTGATTTGACTTTAATAACGATGAGGAATATGAAAAGTGCAGAAAAAATTTGAGCAATGTCACACTTGCAACTTTCCACATTAAATTTAACTAATGTTTTATTTTAGTATCATTGAGATACTACTCATATTTTGAATTAGTTTTTATTTTTTATTTTTCGTTTTAATATTAGTTAGTTTTAGTAATTTAGCTGTGTTTTTGCCTTATTATTTAAAAAAAAATAAGTCTATATAGTTTTTATTTTTTATTATATCATTTATATTAGTTATCATATAGTTTATACTAGTTTTATTTATTCATTTTATTTTCAGATTTATTTTTAGATATTGTAGTACATCAAGTTAAGCTAAATGAAAATGAGGTGCCTTTGCAACTAGATGGGGAAAAAAAGTTTTTTTTTTTAAATTATTATTAAATGTTGTATTTTATTTTATTTCAAGTAATGAAAATGTTTGGTTATGGTTTAATTTTAGTACTATGACAACCTGGTTCAGTCACAGGTATTTATGATATTAGTTTTACTATTTTAGTCTTTAACTCAAGTGTTATAAAATATCAAACACTGGTTAAGCATAATCATCCTTTGATTTGTTTGATCAAGTTCCAACAAAGAAAACAAATCAAATGAGATGAAGTATCTTCACTTGTTCTAAATTCACTCATTTATTCATACACAAACATGATAATTTAATCTATACTGTATGATTTAATTCCCAAGTATTTTTTAATGGTATTACAAAATCCGATTTGGTTCATACCACCCACATCCACATGCATGTAAGACTCAGACAAAACAGACGGCATGTAAACATGGTACAGTATGTGGCGGAACAGTCTGTGCTTTTATGGTCAGTTGTGAACGTAATGGTGCCATTTCGAGTCACTGACGACCTGTATTATTCCAAATCGTACACATAATCCCTCTGTACCAGCACACGGAAGGAAAACAACAAGGGATTGCAGAAATCAGAAAGCATTGGGATCTTACCTTAACGACGTACGTCACTCCAGGTCCGGAAATCTTTTCACCTGAGTGCAGCCATCCGCGAGAAGGCTTATTCACCAGCCCACCGCAACCCGCGGCACCTGTCCCACCCAGGCCCCAGCCCTCTCCGCCGGGCTGAGACTCTTCCATCCTGCCCTTCTTCCCAGAGTTTGCGGAACTGTGCTCCGGCGGGGCGTGAGGCGCTCCGGAGGCCGCTGGGAGGGTGGATGAGCCTGGGCTACCGGATCCGCCTCCTGACGCGCCTCCCTGGAGCTTGGACACAGCCAGGTCCTTGACGGCGGACGGCAGGCCCTTGATGCCCAGCAGTCCGGAGGAGTTGGCGAATTTGAGGTTGGAGACTTTGTTAATGAGGGTGCACAAGGTGCCGGACTCTTCCGCAGGGTTGGGCGGCAAGACCTCGGCTGGCGGGGCGTACGGAGGGTCGCCCACGGGCGGCGACGGCGGGACGGCCGAGACCTTGGCATTCATGGAGAGACCGTGCAGAAGCTCATCGACGGATGTCACTGACTCATTCCGGAATCGGTTGTATTTACCACGGTGAAGCATTCCCCTCGGTGTGCCAGCCTACATGCGAACGGACACATCCAACTCCCAGCTGACTGTCCACTTCTTTAACATGCTGGAGCTGAGAAAGTGTCCTCAAGGGTTCGAAGAAAGGGAGCGAGTGGCCGTCAGAAAAATCCGACGCCGTGCAGCAGCGGCAGCAGCAGCTCGGGGACCAAAAATAAACCACAAAACGCGGAATCCATGGAGACAGAGGACGACGAGAGAGAAAAGCAGCGTGAGGTCGCTCCTCTACAGAGATAGAGGGCCAGAGATGGCAGAGAGAGACAGAGCTCTAGTGAAGAGATGTCTCTCTCTCCCCCCGCATCCTGGCAGATCACTGAACATGCATGACTCACTCGGAGAGAGAGAGAGAGAGAGAGAGAGAGA